CCTGCCCCCATATTGAAAAAGCCTGCTCTAAAACATACAGGAGATTTCAGATTCTTACCATCCCAAATCTATGTAAGAATTAATACTTCAAAAATTCCCAACTATCAAGCTTTTGGGTCTCAGAGCTGGATGTTATATCAGCCCAACCAGCCATAGGCCACCAACAGATTTAAGCCTGGGCAAGCGTATATCTCCATTGATCAGCTTTTTTGTACTCACATAAGCCGCTCCTCCAGAATTTCTAGTGAAGCTAGCATCTGAAATTCCTTTTTAGAGAATTCAGTGGTCCACTGGCTGGCAAAAAACTCTCTCTAGAATTAAAAGAGCAAGTGCCTTATGAAAAAAGACTAAAGCAAGAGAAACTGGCATACTGCTTTGGCAAAAAGAGTAAATGGAGAGAAAGGACTACTGAAATAAAGAGCAAGGCTAAACCATCCAGCTCCTATTTTCTGTACTCCTCTCATCAATAAATTTGATTGCCTGAGGCAGAAAAGTTCTAAAGAAACTGCTCTCATTAATGCTCTATGTGTGTGCTGGGTGTGTGTTGTTTCTCCTGTAGAAACCCAATTAAAAAGATCAGAAACTGCACAAGAGCACCACCATGATTTCACATTGTTTCCATTAATTTCAGTGGGGCTTGTGCAGGAAATCTTCCAATGTGGGGTAGTGCCCCCCATGTCAGATCAGGCTGTTCATTTCACATTTTAACATTGTTCAAGGAACTGAATTAACTCACCTTGGCTTGAAGTACGGCCACTCGCATAGTGGAGATTCATGGATACATACCCCTGAGACTGTGATTTTTTCGGCAGTCAAGGTCTTGCAATGCACATTCGTATCATCGGCAATGTATCTCATTTGATAATCAATCTCGGCACTTTCAGTTGCCATTTCACTGCTAGTACCAGGCACAGGTGGCTTTTCCTGCCCAGAAAAGAGAAGAAGCAGACAGTGTAATATTTGCCCCTTTGTTGGAAAGCTAAACTCTTCATAGAAGGTCAGATTTTGTATACAAAAATCATGATAATTAACACAAAGCAATTTTCATATTGTACATAAGACTTGTATGCAAGAATGTTAACAGATTACTTTTAAGAGAGTCACAAGTACTGGAATTTGGGGAAAGACTTACGCTCCTAAAGACCTAGCCAAAGATTTGGGATTTTTGGTTCTAAGAATATGTTTTCAGTCTTATTCAGATTACCAATTTACCTCTGAAAACAATTTAGCCCCCCATGAAAAGAGAAGTCCTTACTAGGCTACTATTCCGCTCTGAATAAGTTATGCCATTTCAAATCATGTCAAGATGACAGTGCAATATAGGGATGAGATTTTTTTTCCTAAAGCATGAACTCTGCACATATACGTACTTCATGAAAGGACTTTTTCTTCTTTTCCGAATACCCACAGTAAAACCAATATTTACTGTATAATATATAGCCCTGCTTATTAGAAACTATTCCAAAACTTAGGGAAACATATTATCTTCCCTGACTAGGATCCATAGCTATTTAAAACACCTCTTTCCCCCTCTTGGGCTTTTCAAAAACTTTTGCAAGTTTTCTGTAAGAAATGACTAACAATAGTTTTGGGTAGCCGATATGTCCACATTAACATTAAGATTAGCTACAGAAAAATCACTGTGTTATGCAAAGTATTAAATGGTGATAATAATGGCAGTAAGGCTCTGTCTTCGAATCTGACAGAGATTCCTATTTAAAGGAAACTGATCATACAGGAAGTCCTTATGTGAGAAATCAGCATACTCACACACAATCAGCCACATTCACATGTCAGCAGCAACAATATGAGAGGAGTTCCAGAACTGCTGCTACTGTCAACCACCTTTACATCTCGCAATGGCACCTGAGCTTCCCCAAACTTCTCTGTGTGATGAGTTCTTATCAGATACAGAACATTCAAAACTTTTCTTCTGTCATGAAAGGCAGCAGCACATTTCTTCCAGTTTCAGAATTAGACAGTTTGATTTTTAGATATCAAATTTTATACCAGATATTGCTTTAGGGCAGTAAACATAAACTATGTGGTAGACTTTATTTGTTGATTTTATTATACTAACCCCTAGAACCTTGCTTAGAAAGAAAGAAAACCACGCAAACTTTCCAGTGGAAATATTCACCTGTGTTTCCAACACATGCTTCTCTTCCAGGCTTTGCTCAGAACCTGCTTCTTCCGTTATCTTGAGTTCATCCGGAGCTTGTTCTGCATGAATGGAAGAGGCGCTCTCCAGGGTTTGCTCTGGGTGAGGTGGGAGCTTTCGTTTTGGTTGAAGCACCTTGAGGTAGCACAGAAAAGCTGGTAACCAGGAAGTCCATTCTGAGATTTTGTCTTCATTGCTACTATTCTAGATTTCGGGCTCTCTGATTCATAAAGGACATTCTTTTCTTTTTTTATATAATATTTTATTAAGATTTTAAAGATACATATTTAAAAGTTAGAAATGAAAAAGAAAATTTTTATTAAGATTTTAAAGATACATATTTAAAAGTTAGAAATGAAAAAGAAAATTTGAAATACAAAATATAAAGAAAAGGAAAAGAAAAAGTGAAGTAAAGTAAAAGAAAAAAAGAGATGAAAAATAGATAACTTCCAATCTAT